GGCCTTTAATCCCAGCACTTGGGAGGCAGGAGCAGGTGGATTCTGGGAGTTCAAGGCCAGCCTGGTCTACAAGAGCTAGTTCCAGGACAGGATCCAAAGCTATGGAGAAACTCTGCCTCGAAAAAAAATTCAAAAAACATAACTAAACAATTTTCTTAACTTACAACAAGCTCAACTGAAAAATGAACATGACCACATAGTTCACTGAAAACCAAGAGATGAAGATGTGCACCATGTCTTCCATTAAAATGCATTAAACCAGCTTGGTGGTGATGGTGCACACCTTTCTTTAATCCCAGAACTAGGGAGGTAGAGGCAGGCAGATCTCAGTGAGTTCTTGGCCAGTTTGATCTACTGAGTTCCAGGACAGCCAGTGCTGTTACACAGAGAAACCCTGTCTTTTTTTTTAATATTTATTTATTTATCATGTATACAATATTCTGTCTGTGTGTATGTCTGCAAGCCAGAAGAGGGCACTAGACCTCATTCCAGATGGTTGTGAGCCACCATGTGGTTGCCGGGAATTGAACTCAGGACCTTTGGAAGAGCAGGTAACGCTCTTAACCACTGAGCCATCTCTCCAGCCCCCAGAAACCCTGTCTTGAAGAATCAAATATAAAACAAAAAATAAAATAAATGCATTAAACCTTCATTAAAATGTAAGATTCCAATAATTCACTTTCAGATGATCAAACCAAAAACTGCTTCCTACCCAGTACTGGCATGGAACTGGTAAACAGTTCCTTCCATACTTTTTATGTATTAGGATACTGGGCCAAGATGTCTGAAGGTCACTTTGATAGTAGCTACTGAACTGAAAATGAAAAACACCCTTCGATTCAGAATTCTAGGGTAGCAATTAACCCTGTGGACAAAATCTTCTTAAATGCGTGTGTATGTATATTTGCTCCATTATTACTCAGTAAAATACTGGAAACAATCTAAATTCGCCAATGTTTGGAATAGTAGTTGAAAAATAATAAGGTGTTTTTGTATATTTTGATAGAGATCTTATAAAACACAAGAAATTAAATGAACAAAGACATAAATTGATTGTATTAATGTAAAATAATGAAGTATATGTTGGGTGGCAACTAAAGCTGGTCACCTCTGGAAGAAGACATATTAGAGAGGGAAGAAAAGGGTTTTTTCCCCCAAAACACAGAGGAAAGTCTACTTATTTATAAACTACACAAGAAACAAGTACCACACAAATGTAACATATGCACTTTTCTACCTATTTTTTGAGAATATTACTTATTATCTAACAAAATTAAGTTTTTGATCATTCTAAAGCTGGTTTCTCTAATCAGGGGTTAATGTTTTAATTTAAAATTATTTTCACACAATATATTTTGGTCATGTTCCTAAATGTTTTGATTTTCTGTATTACCATTTATTCCATGTGCATATATTACATTTCCCTTTCCTTCCTAAATGAGAAACACTTTATCACGTTATTCTGAAATATCCTACATGGATTTTGATACTTGCGAGATTTATATATGGTACTTGCCCTTAGATTTTCATTAAACTTTTGATTTTTCCCTGATATTCCAATCATTTTTTTTTCCTTTTTGTGGGGTTTGGTGTAGGATCTCAAACACATCTCTGGCTAGTTTGGGACTCACTTTGTAGATCAAAGATGTGTGCCACCATACCCAGCTCAATCGGGCTTTTTTGACTGTCATTTTAACTGCATGCTGTATTTGTGAGGCAGTGATTACATGTTGCTGCTCAAGGACCAAGTCCTGTACCCTGCAGGGAACTTGACAATTAGAAGTGAATTATGCAGTGAGTGCAAAACCAAAAGCACATTAAGACTTTACATCCACAGTGGGGTGTGGTGGTGCACACCTGTAACCTCAGTATGTGGGAGGCTGATGCAGAACATTTAGGAACTCAAGTCCAGCCTTGATTATATAGGGAGTTTGAGGCCAGTCAGGGCTAAATAAATGAATCATCATCTCAAATATGTATGTGACAATAATTAAAGAAAAAGAAGCCATGAATTTGAAAGATAGTAAGAAGGGCTATATGGTATATGGAAGGGGTTGGAGCAGTAATGGAAAGGGAGAAATTATGTAATTATAATCTCAAAAGCTAAAAAATATTTTTAAAGGAAGACTTGACATTAGAGTATGCATTTAGGAAAAAGGCATCATACTATTAGCTCACATTTTTCTGGAGACAGAGAAGCTGAAGAAATGAGATTAAACGTTAAAAACTAACAAAAACACTACTAAAAACAAGGTGAGACAATCACTTATTTATTGGACAGGGCAAGGTCATTTAAAGAGAGGAAACATATCCAAAAATGGGTTTATTGGTGTTACAGGCATCAAGGCTCACAAACAGTATTCGATACATCGTGGAAACAGGTCACGTACAGCCAGGAAGATGCTGTCATGTCACTCAAAAGTATGCCACAAGTGCTTGGGAAGCAATCATTAGGGAGTCACTGTGCATACTTGTCACCAATTCACACTCTTTACTCCCTGCAGCTGAGCTATTAGCCCATAAGATTTGGCTAGTTCCCTGGTTATGAAGTGTGTTCCTGCATTCTGGAGAACTTTTTAATGTCACTGAAAGCACATCAGTATAGGCTTACCTAGCACTAGCTCACATCGCTGTTTTTGAACTACCCTAGGTAGTAATGGACTCTCACACGGTATTGTAAATAAAACTCTGTACTGAACACACTTAGAACTGTTACAATGCACCCAAATCTTATTTATTTTATAGTACCTTAGTTCAAGAAGATAGCAGAAATTCAATGAAGTTGATTTAAAAAAAAAATTGGGATGTTTACCTGGTCTGAGGTATACAAGCTGTCCGCAAAGGTAGACACATCTAAGATTTGCTATGTCAATTATTTGCCAAAAATTTTAGCATTATATTTAGCAGTATTTTCTTGGCTGGGTAGGCAAGAATAGATTGTAATATCTATTGTAGAAACTCAATAAATGTTAGAAGCAGTAGTATGGATGTTTGGCTAGAAGGAAAACTATTCTATGTAACAAGGTTAACTGAGGAGTCTGTCAGGAATTGGCTTTCTCTCTTTAAATCCATTAATTTATCAACTATTTTTTCCTGTGATACTATGGATGAACCTAAGGCCTTGCACATGCTAGACAAGCATTCTACCAGATTTACAACCCCAGCACCTCAACCACTTCCTCTCACTGTATTTGGTTCTGGGTTCTCAAGATGAGTGTTCACTCCACATAGGAAACTGAACAAAGACTAAATATTGCATTAATTAAATTTTAGTAAATGATCAGGTTATACATATATAGACTATTGGTCCCTAGGACCTAGGTGAGATACACTGGGAAGAAATCAGAGGTGACTACTAAAGACATGGCTTCTTTAGGAATAGTAAAATGGCCTAGATTTATCATGTAGTCGTACAATTTTGTGAGTATATTAAAAGTTACTTAATCGCACTCTTTTAAGTTTATATAACTTCTTTAAGGATAAGGTCTCAATGTGTTATTTCAATCTGGCCTTGAATTTGTGACAACTTTCCTGCCTTGGCTTCCTGAGTGTTAGGATTTCAGCTGTGGGCCAGATCTGAAACTATGCCCTTTAAAAGGATGAAATTACAAAGCGTGTAGATTCTCAGGAACATTGTTATGAAAACACATTAAGGGAAGACAGTCTCCAAAGAGAAGAAAATGAGGCTCTTCAATCAAGTAAGAGTCAAGGAGAATGGCAGAAAGGCCTGATGGTACAGCATGCTTCTGGCATGCCATTTTGATTTCACTAGCATCACGTTAGTCCTTGGATTGACTTTTTTTTTTGGGGGGGGGTTGGGGTTAAGACAGGGATTCACTAAGATAGCCCATATTTGCCCCAAACTTGTGATCCTGCTTCAGCCTCCTAAGTGCTAGGATTACATGCACATGCCACCACGCCTGGCTTGACTTCACATTTTTAGACTGTTTCTAAATTATTGTAGGCGATAAGTAGATTTCTTAGTTGTTCTCAATAGAGAACAGAGTCAGTGCTACATAGACTTAGCAAAACAAAAGAATTACAATCCAATGCCAAGGAGCAGGGATGTAGCTCAGTTTGTATAGTGCTTGCTTAGCATGCATAAGGTCAACCCAGAAAACCAGGTGTAGTGCAGCACCTATTATAATCTTAGTACTGAGGAGGTGGAGGCATAAGGATCATCCTTGGCTACATAGTGAGGTTGAGGCTAGCTCAGGTTATGTGAAATCTTCTGTACACACAAAAAACAAAAACCACAAAAACAAACCAACAACAACACAATCTTCTCCTCTGAGGCTGTGCATTACTGGGTAGAAAGGCTGAGTGAGGTTCTTTCTTAGTGAAAAAAATGCCTCCAAGTGTAAGAACATCTGGATCTCAAGACCCTGCCTTAAACAAACAAACAAACAAACAAGCAAACAAACAAACAAGCTTCAGGTGGGTTTCCTTTCAAAATCTGCAGTTATTCCCTTTACGCCTATATAATTTAACAAAATTAATGTGTTGATGCTTGTGGAAAGCTATAATCTCTGCAAAGTAATGTGGAGCCTCTTAGTTTCCTAGCTAAAAAAGCGACTCCAATTTTCCTAAAAGTAAAATTACTGTTTCTGAAAAACATTCAATGCTGTGTCCTTCTGCTCACCTTCAGCATGGCAGTGAAGATGAAGACTCCAAGCCAGCTCTCAATCAGAAGCTACAAAGCAACTTCTTAAATGACCTCAATTTTCTAAGAGAATTGAAATAGACTAGCTCCAAATAATTAGAACATATTTGGCCCAATTTCTTTGTGTGTGCCTTTAGATTAAATGAGACATTTCCTTTATTTTTACTAATTCACCAATTTAGTATGAAATAAATAAGCCAAAAGATTTTGAATGAGTGAAACTGGCTAATGACAATCAGTTTTCCACAATCAATACTATTCTACATAGGCAAGATAATGAAGTCACAAATTTTCCTTTGGTCTACTTTCAACTAGTCTTACACTATCAGTGAAGAGTTTACAACAAAACAACATGAGTAATTTTACAGCAAGATGGACTTGTTAAATACGTATGACAGAATTTCTGACACAAAATTTGCTCACTGCACACAGAATCTCAGAAGTGATGAAACAAGACAGCTGATGTTAGAAGGAATCTGGGAGTGGGGTCTGGAGAGAAACCATTGATAAAATAAAAATTGGCAAGTATCTGTAAAAGCAGATTCACTCTTTATGGGACCTAAAAAAACCTGCAAAGTCACCATTTTGGTCTTCTTCAAGAAGTTGGTCTAATAAGAACTGAAGACCATTTGACTCTTGTGCTGCAAAATGCAGGTGTTACATGGTATTTTCAGGATTCCTAAAACCTGTAGTGCAAAAGAAAAGAAATCTATGAAAATAAATAATCACAAAAACCCCAATATTTTTCTGGGAAATGTGTTTGAAACAGTGACTTTTACAAAACATGGAAATTGTTTCAAATGAACAAAAACCTCTATACGAAACTTCGAAGATTCATTTCACAGATAACTTATACACCATTTGATTTCAACAATGTACAAATAAGGGCCATAGAGTATTTTAATTAGCTCCGAAATAGCAATATAAATACTGATGTTGGGGGGAGTGTTTTACACCCCAAACTCCAATACTCAACTCTGTCTGTCCTATTATTGAATTTGTAAAAAGCTTAACGGCGCAGGGAGTCAAGCTTTCGTAACTTCAATGACGTGTTAGAGGACAATGCATCTAGGTTTGAAGAACTTGGTGCATCCGAAGGCCGGAACAGCACTCGGCCACGATGATTAAACACATAAAAAGATGGATGATTCCTTAAGGTATCAAATGTCCTTAAAAAGAAAAAGAGCACCAAGTTTAGATAAACCTTTATAATAGCACATTTGAAAAATGAGCAGACTTCTAATTAATTATGAATTTGCTGTGAATTATATTTTTAAATAATAAATCTGAGATTAGACTACAAATGGTAATCACACTGTGTTGCATATTTTTACTATACAAACAATGTAAGAAATTTGGAAATGACCATAAAGTTCTCAGATTTTTTCTTCAGCCATTGATTCCCTCCAGAACACCTGTCAACAATAAGAAATACTAGATAAACTTCAGTCATCTCTACAAACTACCAGTAGATTATGATAAATCATATGTCAAATGCTAGCACACAGATGTACCTCTGATTATTCTCCTTTGGCCCTAAGCCTTAGACATTTCAAGGATCTGTTTTTCAAGTACAATGAAAAATCCTTTTTGGCCTTCTGTATGTACTATTGGCCAAACTCAACTATTTTGCTGCCCCTACTTGACGCCATTTGGTTTGGCTCCTTTCTTTTCTGGCCTCTTGCCTGAGATCCTTCGAAGACTCTCCCAGTGAGATTTGTATCATCTAAAAAAGTCCATAAATGTCCTGAGATATGAGTGGTTAGTGTTTGTTTTTAAATATTATTTTCCTAAAAAAAGAACCAGAGAATCTTCCCTTTATGGAAAAAAAATCTCAAAGTTAGCCCCACTTAACCATCCAAATGGAAATATGGTGGGGGGGGGGCTGGAGACGTAGCTCAAGGGTTAAGAATATATGCCCTTCCAGGGTTTAGTTCCCAGAATCCACGCTGGGTGGGTAGCTCATAACTGCCTTTAACTCCAGTTCTAGGTGAATACAATTCTCTCTGGCCTCCACAGGCACCTGCATGCACACAGTGCACAAAAACTCATGCAGCCACATATACATAAATACAAAAAAAATCTTTTTTAATATCATGTATTTCTTTTTAAAAATAATTTATTTTTTAAAAAACTATGTTTTCTCACTTTACATATAAATCCCAGTTCCCACTCCCTCCCCTTCAAAATAATGTTAAAATAAATGGGAATAATGAGGTAAATGGAAGGGGAATAACTTCCTCTAGTGTACAGATGTTTACTGTGAATTCTTCTAAGAAAATACTGTAAAGGGTTATTGTTTCTAAATAAAGAAGGTAGGGAAAATCCAGAAATAGAATTGAACAAACTGAAGTAAAAATATGGAGAAGGCAAGCAAACAAAAAACAGGAGAAACCTACAGAATAATGATGTTCTTTAATCTAGAGACAGAAAAAGGGCCGAGGACACAGCTTAGGTTCAAATGACAGAGGAAACAGAAAATTCAGTTATTCTTCCAAAGACTAAGCTGGGACAAGAGGATAAGAGAGTAAGAAGGGGGAAGACAGAAGGAGAAGAGGGAAAAGAGGGAAGGAACCTGGATAATGTTTCTGAGCTATTTTCTATATAAGTATTCTCATCTGTCTTTCACATTCTAACCAACCAGTAATTTTAGGGCACTAGCAGGAACCACAGTCTACCACCTTGTTTTTACTTTTCTCCTTTTATGGTTTTGTTTTGAAGCAGGGTCTTCTTATGTAGCCCAAACTGTCTCGGAATTTACAATCCTTCTGTTTCATCCTCAAGAGTACTGGGCTTACAGGTGTGTGCCATTATGCCTGGTTTTCAACTTCTACTTGTCCTATGACACCAAACACTGACTTGGTACTTTTGCCTCATTACTCCTACAAACTACATAATCAAAGGATATAAATGAAACCAACTATTGTGTAGCTAAAATCACACTGTAAATCATGTACAGAAAACAAATCTCTAGAAGTTAAATGCTTCTGGAAAGGAACTTACTTATTCTTTAATTCTGAAGTGGCATCCATGTCTTTGAACTCTCCTGCGATATGAACTATGCCATAACAGGTAACTGCAAAGGCCAGAAGTGTCTGAAGAACTATCTGTGAGTATAAAGATGCAGATTAACAAACAGCATGTGAATACTATTTGGAAAATTGACAATCCGCTTCCCCTCCGATGCAAGTTCTAACAAGCATTCCCCATTGCTACTCAGCAAGGAGTCACTTCCTGAAATAATTTGCACTCAGACACAATAAAATTTCTTAAATACAATAACACTTCTGATGTCTTAGGAAGTGAATTTAGCAACATGCTCAGAGAAGCAAAGTTGCCAAATACTGACTGGTACCAAGTCACTTAGAACTCAAGTACCAAACAGTGTCTGCTTCCAAGAGCAACTAAAACTCCTTTTTGTTATTCCATTACTGGTCAATATCATAGAGGGCACAAAATATATGAGCACAGTATAAAGAAGAGCAATAAAAGGTATCACGTACCCGCCAACCAACTAAATGGTGTGGGAGGTCCTTCTGTCTATGGGTTGCTTTTATTGGTTAATGAATAAAGAACTGCTTTGAGCCTATGGCAGGGAAGAACAGAACTAGGTGGGGAAAGTTAGGCTGTATGCTGGAAAAAAGAAGGGTGGAATCAGAGAGAAGCCTTGGAGCCACTGGAGCCAGACGCTGGGAACTTTACCCAGTAAGCCACAGCCATGTGGTGATATACAGTTTAATAGAAATGGGTTAAATTAATGTAAGAGTTAGCCAATAAGAAGCTAGAGCTAATGAGCCAAGCAGTGATTTAATTAATACAGTTTCTGTGTGATTATTTCAGGTCTAAGCTAGCTGGGTGGCCGGGAACCAACATGCAGCCTCCTTCCTACAACTAAACTTTCAATTCTTCCCCTTCTCTTTTTGAAACAGGGTCTCATTATATATCCCAAGTTGGCATTAAACTCACCATCTTCCTGCATCAGCTCTTCCAGATACAGCAATTACAGGTGCATACCATCAAACCCAGCTTCTCAGAACCTTCCAAGTCCCTGTCCCATTATTTCCTTTCCTTTTTTCTTAAAGTTAACTACTGTACTTAATTATGCATTAATCAGTTCCTTGCTGTTTTTGAACAATTCATGAACCTCTAAACATGTTATTGTTTACTTTTCCTCATTCTGAATCTCATTTAAATGCACCCCAATACGTTCTTCTGAGTCTGTCTTCTCTCATCGTTATTTGTGAGATTCACCCCCACAGCAGAAGTCTAAGTCCTTTCATCGTGTTTAGTGCTTATCATAAGAAAACATCATGATTTATTTCATTATTGCTGTTATTTTTACAAGGTCAACAGAAATATTCCTACATGCCTCCTGGTACAGAGCATGTGTGCGTTCAGATTTATTACACAATACCAAACCGCTTTCCAAACAGGTTGTACAAGCAACAATGCTTAATTTCATGTTTGAAATTAACCAACACAGCATTATGGGTGTTTTCTTAATTATAATTACACAAAATTTTAAAATTTGCTAATTGAGAATCCTAAGAAAGTTACTTTAAAAAGATATAAAAGTACATGTATATGTTTGTATACATCTACCAAAAAGAAAAAGTGAAAGGAGGGTAAGTTAACAGCCGCATATACTACATCTTTAGTTAAAAACAGAGACATAAACCCTGTCTCGAAAAACCAAAACAAAAAAAAACCAGAGACATAATAAGCCACAAGCTAAGACTGTCTAAATTAAAACCCAATGACATCTGAAATGTTACTCTACATTCCAATCACCATTATACCAAAGAGATTGATTGGTTTTGTTGTTGTTAAGACAGGGTCTCAGTTCAATGTTGCTGAGGAAAACCTTGAACTTCTGAGCCTCAGGTCTACATTCCAAGTGCTTGGATTATAGGTGTGTGCCACCATGCCCTCTTTATTGGGTAAAAAAGATCAAACACAGGGATTTGTATATGCCAGGCAAACACTGTACTGAGTTACATCCCTAGCCCAAAGGAGACTGTATTTCATATAACACAGCAAGAATGTGGTAAATCAATGAACTTTCATGAAAATATGTCCCAGAAAAATTATGGCCAAGGAAAACTAACTATAAATTAGGTGGAGTAGCACCCAGGAGATGAAGGCAGCAGAATCAAGAGTTTCAAGGCCAGGTTTGGTTATATTCACTTTCAGTGCTAGCCTAGGCCACACAGCCTGTCTCCAAAACAAAAGCAAAAAGTAAAGCTAGCTAACTACAAGACGACATATATACTTAGTATTGGATAACGAATTGGGGGCTCTTCCCTGATGAGACATCTCTCCTACTCTCAGCATTCCTTAGTTGTCTGTGCTTCTTTGTCTAGTGTTGAGGCCCTATGGTCATCTCTTAAATCATATACATACAAGTAACATTATAGAAACTGAGCAGTTGTATTTATATATATTTTTATTTTTTTTAAATATTTTATTTATTTATTATGTATACAATATTCTGTCTGTGTGTATGTCTGCAGGCCAGAAGAGGGCATCAGACCTCATTACAGATGGTTGTGAGCCACCATGTGGTTGCTGGGAATTGAACTCAGGACCTTTGGAAGAACAGTCAATGCTCTTAACCACTGAGCCATCTCTCCAGCCCCTTGTATTTATATATTTACAAATATATAGATATATATTTATGCATGTAACAAAAATTAAAGAAATAGAGGCCATGAATTTGAGTGAGAGCAAGGGGTGAATGCATGGGAAGGGTTTGAGGGAGGAAAGAGGAAATAATCCAAATATATTTTAATTTCAAAAACATATTTTTTTTGAGACAGGGTTTCTCTGCATAATCTTTTGGCTGTCCTGGAACTCACTTTGTAGATGATGCTGTCCTTGAATTCAGAGATACACCTGCCTCTGTGTCCCAAGTGCTTGGATTAAAGGTGTGTGTGTACCACCACAACCGGCTTAAAAACAATTTTTCAACTACATACATAATGTTTTTATAAAGGATGTAGTTTCAATCTTAATTTTGTTTTAGGGGAAACATAGGTGCCACAGTGTAAGGGTTCAAATCAAAGATAACTTCCAGAAGTTGGTTCTCTCTTATCATGTGGATTCCAGGGATTAAATTCAGATCATCAAGTTTGGCAGCAAGTGCTCTTTTACCCACTGAGACATCTCACCAGCCCCCCAAAGCTGTTCCAATTGGTAAAACAAAGTACATGCACCTAAGACAACACTGTATATACATAAGAAAAAGCCTAAACTCTTGATAGCCCTTAAAATATTATGAATAAATGTGAAATTGCCAGGGAATGGGATCAGTTCTGCTGCTGCTATTCTTTGAATTTTGTGTGATTAGTTTATTATTTTTTATACCTATTATTTAATTCTGTTACAAAGAATTCACTATTCATATAAGTTTAAATCTACTAATAAATTATAAGTAGGGAACAGGCATTAATTCAGGTTAAACGCTACCTTCTTTAGTTTTTACATACAGTCAGTATTGCTTGCTTTTAGCTTTATTTTTCAAACGGAACTATTGGGCCAGTGAAATGGTTGAGTAGGTGAGGATGCTTGCCACCAAGCCTGATGGCCTGAAAATTTTCCCCTGGGACCCATATGGTAGAAGAGAATTGACTCCTGCTGATTGTCTTTTGACCTACACACTTGTGTCATGGCATGAACACCCACACACATAAGAAAATATTAAAAAAGGATATTTTATAAAAACTTGAGCCAAATGACAATTTTAAAAGGCCATTTTATACTGTGGATACAGAAACTTCTAGAAAGGCCCCCATTTCCTTCTTTAGTTTTTTTTTGTTTTTTGACAAAGGGTCTTACTCTGTAGTTCAGGTTGACCTCAAATCCACAACAATCCTCATGCCTCAATCTCCCAAATGATGTGATTAAGGCTGTGAGCCACTATGTCTGATAAAAAGATCTAATAGAATTTTTTTAAGATTTTAAGATCTTTAGATTTTATGGAGTGATAAAAGCAGGTGCAGCTGAGGCAAGGTAACACTGGCCTTTAGTCCTAGCATTCAGGAGGCAGAGGCAGAGGCAGAAGCAGGAAGATCTCTGTGAGTTTGAGACCAGCTAGGTCTATGTAGCAAGTTCCAAGCCAGCGAGAGTTACACAGTGAGACTCTAAGTCAAAAAAAAAAGCAGGTAACAGATGTCATATCATGCCTGAAAATGATAAAAGAATAATAAAATAACATAAAAGTTACTATAAGCAAAGTGGCTGATTTTAAATATGAACTTAATGGACTATAAATGAACAACTTACATCTATTGGTAGTGATTCATCTTCCTTTTCTGTTAGTCGCATATAAGAACGATCTATAAACCAGAAACATACCATTAAGGAAATTGTAGCCCATTTTCCTTTCTTAAAATGCAAGAAAATCAATATACCAAAGAACTGGCCGACTTATATGCTACATAAAGTAATGCTAATCCCAAATTCCTCAAAACCCTCTTCCCATGCAGTCAGCAGCCTTACCTTTATGAATTAGCTTATGCTTGCCATGGCCCATCTCTATTACCTTAAATGACTGAAAGATGGCCAAGTGTGAAACTGAAATAACTAAGCATAATTTTTCATTCATTAGTATAGAAAAACCTAGCCATTCTCAAACTTCCTTTCACTAAGTGGTCAAAGAAGTCATAATTATTTAATAATCACTAGGACTACAAATATCTTCAATGCTCTATGACCCTGCCATTGTACAGTGAACCCAAAGTGAAAACTAGAAATGTTTCTCTTCAGTGTAGTGGTGTAACTGAAGTTTCAGGACATCAATTTCTGTCCCCGCTACTACTTAATTCTGCTGCTGCCTTAACTGCAGGAGGCAGCAAGGGATTGAAGGATCAGGATTTGGAAACTGGTAACCCTGAATCCTACACAACACCAACTCTTTTATTTCCTATGATTTCTGCACCTTACTCAAGACATCCTTTGCAACCCCAACATGTATTTCATTTGTAGAGTATTAAAATGATGTGAAAGTGAGCCAGGTGGTGGTGGTGTACACCTTTAATCCCAGCACTTGGGAGGTAGATGCAGGCAGATCTCTGTGAGTTCGAGGCCAGCCTCATCTACAGAGGGGGTTCCAGGACAGGCTCCAAAGCTACAGAGAAACCCTGTCTTGAAAAACAAAACAAAACAAATAAATAGAATAAAATGTGAAAGTGAGCAGAATGTTTCTTAGACTCACAGGACTACAGAACCACGCATCTGGCTGCGTGTCCTCCACAGTAAAATGGGATGTGCAAGTTAAACAGGATTTACTTAGTTCATGATCGCTGCACCGCTATACTAAAAGTCACTATGGCAGAGATGAGCATGCGACACCATCATAGGATGCTATCTGATGCCACGATTTCACATGACACAACTAGTGTCAAAGGTGATGCTAGTCTTTTGCCAGCTCACGACGGCGTTACAGAGGTCTTGCTGCAGTTACAAATCCACAATGCACTGTACTCACTTGACAATTATAAAATCCAAAATCTTAATTGTAGATTAAGCAGGACAATTCCTACTCACTCGATAAAGTACTCTAGACTTAAAATACACAAACTGTTTTGAGCGAATGTGGTATGCTTTCAGGCAGAGTATATGTGAGCTTACAAAACTAATAAGAAAAGGAGTAAAAAAAAATCAATCCAATATCAAAAGTAGTTTTGAATTAACCTTCTAATGTCCCACTTCTAGCTAGCTTTCTTGCTTGAATGAAATCTAACCTGGCACTTTAACACTAGCTAGGCATTTCTTCATTGTTTTTTTAATATTTATTTATTTATTATGTATACAATATTCTGTCTGTGTGTATGTCTGCAGGTCAGAAGAGAGCACCAGACCTCATTACAGATGGTTGTGAGCCACCATATGGTTGCCAGGAATTGAACTCAGGACCTTTGGAAGAGCAGGCAATGCTCTTAACCACTGAGCCATTTTTCCAGCCCACATTTCTTCATTGTTGAAATGAGGACACTGGACTTTCAGTAAGGGCCTTCCTTGCTCTACGACTGTATATATATATATATATAATAGAGCCAAAGCTTACTTCGAAAATAACCCAGTACTCCAGTGTATCCTAATCTCCTCCAGGACACTGCTTCACAAACCAACGTGCATGGAAATCACCCAGGGATCTATTAAAACGAAGATTCTCATTCACTACGCCTGAGGTGGAGCCTGAGTGTCTACTAACAAGCTCCCAGGTGATGGCCACGATGCTGTCCTAGTGACCACGAGCAGCAAGGCTCTAAGACACTTCCCGCGGGTCCTATACATACACACTCTCCCTTTAGCATATCCGCATTATCTTACTGTGATGCTTTCTTGTAATTAGTTCTTCACTAGCTTATTAAGAATCGCCTTGTGGCACCGCGGAACCTCTAGCATCTAAAAGCAGAAGCAACTTCAAGCAGTCCTCTGAGACAACAAATTAAAACTCACCCAACAGACGTTACCTGCTGCCCAAGGTCACACAGCCTCAACAGTTAAGCAAAATTTTAACAAGCAGCCCTTTAATGCTACCGGTCCACTGCTCTTTGCCCGTGTCACACTGCCTCCCGGAGGCAAACGGTCACTTAACTTCTCAGACTCTACCTGGATAGCCGAGCGCCCAGGATGCTGGCTACCTAACTGTCACGAGGCCACAAGCATTCAAAGTTCTCAATCCCACACTTTGTCTGATCCGACATCTCGTGTCTTGAGCAGTGGAACAGACACCGCTCTGAATCCGCTCTCGAGTCTCAGCCGGCTCGTCTAACCTTTCTGTGGTGGCTGTACCACAGCCCTCTGATCTCAACCCTCACCGAGGACCCAAACTGCTTTACTTAGTCACCCCAACGGCTGTTCCGCCGGCACTGGGACCGACAGTTCCTCGGGGAAGCGCCCCCACACAGCCCTAGGTGTCCCACAAGAGGTCCCCGTCCTTCAGGCACTTACGCTGAGCAGCTGAAAAGGCAGCGTGGGCTAGGGCAAAGAGGCCGACACCTACAAGCCCTTTCCACAGCGATGGCGCCATGATTCGGAAGGAGCGGCAGCCCAACAAAAGGAGGCAAAGGGCGGCGGGGCTATTCCTTCTTTCACCAGCGGGCGTCCACGCGGTGCAGGAACATGACGTCACCAAAGCCCTAGGCGCGAAGTGCCGGCTTGCATAAAACCATGTGCGCCATGAGAACGAGGAAAAAGGAATGCTGGGAAGAAGGGGAAAGCGACAGGGAAAAAGGTCCTCGGGCCTCCCCCGAGTCTGCGCAGTGCTGCTGCGGCGGGAGGGGCGGAGCTGAGTCGAGGGCGTGAAAGAATGGGCTAAGTGAGACCAATGGGGAGAGGAAGGAGAGCGCCAGCAAATAAGCGCTGGACTTGGTGAAGGGGCGGGACTTACGGAAAGAACCAAGAGGAGAAGAGGGTGGGGCTGGTGGCCAAGGCTGTGGGTGCAGGATTCAGAATCCTAGCGGTTGGTATTTGGAGTTGGCTATTTGTGTGATTTGGTTTTCAACGAGTCTTTTGTTTCACTAAGTCTTCCCTATGCTTCTGGCCTCAGAGAAGTGGTGCTGAGAAAAATTACGGGGAGGAGGAGAGCATTTGAGCATTAATGTCAGGAGGTAAATAAAGTGCAGAGGGCTATAACTTGGTGGGAGGTGGGTGGAGCCCTGAACACTTAGCTTGCCGGAGATGCTCAGAAAATTAATCCAGCTTGTAACTTTTCTACTTTACCTTTCTTCAAGAAAGATCCACACGAAAAGGAGTGTAGCCTGGCAGAACTGTTTGGTCGTGAAGAACGCTAGCATGCATTAAGGAAAAAATAAGACAACAAAGGAATGTTTAAAACAGCCTGATCAGGATCCAGATGTAACCTCCTTTCTCTGTTTTTGTCTTCTTCTCCTAAAATGTAGGCACGCAAAAACGAGGTCTTCCCTTGATCTCTTCTTGCTCTGTTCTCTGTTGACAAGCTCATTAATTCGTTTGCACTTCAGACCAGCATAGATACTCCAGTGATCCCAAGTCAACCACTGCGTCTCAAATACCAGGCTCTGGCTCCCGGTCAGCATTCCCAGCCACCTGCCGCTGGATATTAATTTGCGTGTGAGTAGACCCTGTGGCACATGATATGGCCACATTGATATGGCCAAACGTAACTCCCCCCCTCCACTCTATGTAAGTTACTTCGGTGCCCCTGATAAGTGCTACAGCTTTGTGAACTGCATATCACAAAGTAAATGTAATTATCGTTATTTCCCACCGACCTCTAAAGAACTGTCATCTGAACCCGTTGGCGCCCCAGTACCTGTTCAGTGGTGATCCTTATTATTTATGCCTTTTAAATTTGAACATCTCCACTTGTGATCTCCTTAATCTACTCTGAGTTTGTGTCACCTTCTAAACTATGTCATTTTTTCACCATCTTTGTTATGTTGCTGTTGTTTGCTGCTTCTTTTCCCACTCTGGAATGTGAATTGCAAGTAGACAGTTTTCTCTGTGCATAGAACACTGACTGTCATGTAGTAGACATTGAATGCGTGTTTGTTGAATGAAGAATGAATAAATGTTGGGAAAGAATTAAAAGTGACTTGATCACTGAAAAGATCTTTACAAAGACTCCTAGTATTTTGAATTGGATTTTTAAAAATCGCTGTGGTTTTTAAAACATATACTTGGGTTTCTTCAAATCTGAAAAACTGACATCCAAGAGTCAATATACTTCCTTAGGTTTTTTTGTTTTGTTTTGTTTTGTTTTTAACTGTTAGCCTATTCACTCAGGCTTTTTATTAACTCTTATAACTTACATTAACCCATAATTCTTGTCTGTCGTAGCCATGTAGCTTGGTACCTTTTATCAGAAAGGCATTCTCATCTTGTTTCCTTTGCATCTGGGTGACGACTGCAGACTGAGCCTTTCCTGTTCCCACAATTCTCCTGTTCTGGTCGCCCCACCTATACTTCCTGCCTGGCTACTGGCCAATCAGCATTTTATTAAACCAATACAAGTGACAAATATTTACAGGGTACAAGACCCACAGCAGAGGTCTGCTAGTAGATAGGATTTTTGATTTGGATCCCATTACTCAAGCATTAAGTCATGATCATTATTGTTCTCTGGGCCTTCTCCGCACAGTGCTAGATCAACATCAATCACAATGTCCTTAGGAAAGCAGAACTATCAATAAACGTCACAGAACAAGCAATTAACTAATCACTATTTAGTTGGCAGGAAAATGCTTTTTCCTTTCTTATTGGGATGTTGCAAGATATAAAATCCAGTTTTAAAACAAACCAAAATTTTGTTTTAGCTTATATAATGGTCATTAAAACTTTTCCGGGTTACCTAATAACAATTTATCTGATGCAGTAAATGATTTAATGATTGGAGGGTTTTGAGAGGGAGAGTTATAGGTTCTTAGTTATAACCTTTTTTAGTTTAGAAAAAAAAGCGAAATGTGATATTTCTTTTTTATGTGGTGATATTTCATTTGTGTTATAATAAATAAAGCTTGCCCGAGGATCAGAGTGTGGAGTGAATCCCTAGTTAGACAGAGGCCAGGCAGTGGTGGCGCACATCTTTAATCCCACCATTCAGGAAGTAGAGATAGGTGGATCTCTGTGAGTTCAAGGCCAACCTGGGCTATACAAAATTGATCCAGTGCCGGGGCAGTGGTTGCACACGCCTTTAATCCCAGCACTCGGGAGGCAGAGACAGGCAGATCTCTGTGAGTTCTAGGCCAGCCTGGTCTACAGGAGCTAGTGCGCCAAAGCTACAGAGAAACTCTGCCTCGAAAAACTAAAAAAAAAAAATGATCCAGTCTAAAAGAGAAACAGAGTCGCGGTGGTGGCTCACACCTTTAATCCCAGTACTTGGGAGTCGCATACCTTTAGGAAGGTAGAGACAAGAAGGGATATGGCTGGGTGGAGAGAGGAATATAAAGTGGGAAGGAGACAGGAGCTCAAGGCATTCAGTCTGAGGATTTATAGAGACAGCATGCCCCATTCTGTCTGAGGACTGGGTAGAAGTAAGAACTAGTGGCTGGTTGCTCTGGTCTTTCAGCTTTCACCTCGTAATATCTGACTCTACTTTTTAAAAAAAAAAATTGGTGGGGTTCGCTTTTTATTGAAAATACATTTTTTTTCACATAATGAATCTTTTAAAAATTTAACTCTTTTTATTTTACATTCCAGCCACAGTTCTCCCTCCTACCCATCCCCTCTCCTCCTCTCTAGTTCACTCCTCCCAACAGGTAAGGGCTCCCATCAGGAGTCAACCAAGTCTGGCACATTAAGGTGGGTCAGGACCAAGCTCCTCCCCACTGCATTAAGGCTGAGCATAGGATCCCATCATAGGGAATGGGCTCCAATAAACTAGCTCATGCACCAGGGATAGATCCTGGTCCTACTGCCAGGGACCCCTCAGATAGTCCAAGCTTCACCGCTGTCTCTCACATATGGAGGGCCTAGTTGGGTCCCATGGAGACTCCACAGCTGTCAGTCTAAAGTTCTTGAGTTTCCGTGAGCTTGGTTCAGCTGTCTCTGTAGATTTCTCCATCATGGTCTGGACCTCCCTTGCATACATTCCCTCCTCCCTCTCTGTGATTGGATTCCTGTGGTGAGGGCAGAGGAGGAGACAGAGACTGACTCTCATTGTATAGTCTCTGCTGGCCTTGAAATCATAATTGAAAATTTTGTGCCTTATCCTCCTACCCAGTGCTGGGGGTTTTGGATTGTAACACTATCAACAGTTAAGAGTTTTCCAGAAGTGTCTGAGTTCTGGGTCACTTCTTTAAAGACAAAAGAGGTTATGGAGAAATACACCCACTGAGAAGTCTGATATTTGTATAAGCCACCAATGTATTTTCCTAGTCTTCAGGGAAGTGACTCGATTCTAGAAAAACAGTTTTGCTTTCTGTTAATAAACATTTGCATATCTCCCCATCTCGCTCTTACTCCCTTTCTTGCGTTCTCTATTCTTTTTAACCTTTTGCCTAGATGCAACTAGTGACAGCACTGTTTGCCTGAGAACACAATCAGACTGCATCAGACACATTCCTAAGTAACCACAGAAGTGTCTGAATTATCCCCCCTGCCAAAACACTCCTTATATGTGCCATGGATTAGTTAATGATACAGATATTGGTGGAGGTGGGGATAATAACAGCTAAAGCATTTATAGGGAACTGTTCCCCAGGTTAGTGTGTTGACTAGAGCAACGTGTCCCAGCATTGGGCCTTTGTTTCATGCCAGCCAAGTTCTTAAATATCTTCAAATTTTACTTGTGAACATTTTAATCTCTGTATTTTCCCCTTTATCTCCCGTACTCTGACCTAGTTTGAAAATTCACCTTTTTTGCAAATGTGTTCCTATTACAGATATCTATAAGAAAAATATATAAAATTATATTATATGTACTGAAATTGTTGATGGGATGTGTTAGTCTGTGCTGCCAAGTCTAATGACCTCAGTTTAATCCCCAAACCCACACGGTGTTAGGGGAGAGAATGATTTCCTTAGAGTTGAATATGGGGGAATGTGTAAACACACTGAATTAATTTTTTTTTTGAGACAGGGTTTCTCTGTAGCTTTGGAGCCTGTCCTGGAACTAGCTCTTGTAGATCAGGCTGGCCTCGAACTCACAGACACCCTCCTGCCTCTGCCTCCCGAGTGCTGGGATTAAAGGCCTGCACTACCACCACCCGGCCTGAATTAAAGATTTTAAGAAAACTTTTTAAAGCCATTTATATCTAGAACTATGTCTCTGGGTAACAGATTCTAGGATTCTATAGCCTTCTAGGCAAACTAACCTGCTTGCCTGCTCTGTCTAACTGCCTGCCCTTCTCCTTTCCTTCCTCTTATCCTCCCCACTTCTCGGACTTATCAGCAAGCAAGGAATTGTATAGATCTTTCTCAGGGAAGGAATCAGATCAATAAAACAGCAGAAACTGAATCATTCAGACAGGCAGCTCTGCCACACATCCATATAGGTTTCCCCTAACACATCCATCATGCAAAAAGTGCTGCTCCAGGTTCCCTGAAAACGTGTACAGGATCTGCCAGAGAAGAATTCACACATTTTTTAAAACAATAGCAAAAATCAGGAGAAGCAG